ATATATATATATATATATATATATATATTTACCTCCTCATTATTATGTTCATGATAACCAATATTTGCCGAAGCCTTATGTATCCGCTTATTAAGTAACGGATCCAGGCAGATTAAGAACAACATATAAATTACTAACAGTGATATAACCCATATAACTATTATCACCACGATCTGTAACAATACCAATTTTTCCATTTCATAAATTTATGCAATAGTAATATAAAATTTAATTAGTAAAAAAAATTAGTACTTTAATAATAGTTGTGTTTCTGTTTTCATATTTGCAGTCACATCGAGGACAAAATATCTCTTCTTTGCCTTTTATCTGTTCTCCAAGTTTCGGTAGAACAACGCTTTCGCACTTACTACAAGTTAAATACATATTATATCAACAACAATCACAAAACATTGCAAATTAAAATAAGTATATAACATGAAGCCCTTCTTATCAATTTATACAAAACTCTTACTTTTCACACATTATATTATTCATAAGTAAAATCAGACAGTCAATTGCAATTGTAATAAAAAAAAAATTCTTTTTAAATATATGAGTTTTATATAGAGTAAGAAACTATCCTCTATTATATATTTATGTAAATTGTAAAGTTACCATTGTAACGGTGGAACATTTATGATATATGTGAGGCGTTCCATAGATGACTGTGTTGTGTTTATAACGGAAGAGAGACTCGGACAAATGCATTTGCATCTTTTATCATCGTATTGCGCCTGAAATTGTTTATGAGATCATTAGAAAACAGACCGTACAGTTGAATAAATACAAAATGCACACTAACCTCAGATTCCGAAAGACAGGTTAAAAAGATTGTTGCAACAAGAAAAATACACTTAAACATTGTGTGTTTTGCATTAAAAAGACATAAATTTTGTAAATTTTCAACAAAAATGTACACAATTACATATACAAGTGATGATTGCAACTATAAGTTTCTCGTTCAACCATAGTACAGCAAGTTGTCATATACAAGATTCATTCGTCTTACTTGTATATACTCATAAAACATTTGTATATATTATTTTACACAAATTCTTTCCTCATAGATCGCGAATAGAAACTATTGCAAAAATTTCAGAGTCTATAATACTAATTAGCCACAACGATGCACACCAAGCATATTAATGCATAATCAGTTTAAGATTTTTGCTTTAGATTTAGCTTAGGATTTATCAACTAATTTTCAATCAAACAATAAGCTATTTGGATAATTCTGAACTTCTCGACTGACAGTCGACATAATACGGAGTATGTAAATTAGTGCATGTGTAGTACAAACTCCTATGTTTCATAGGACTTTTGAAGATGCGAATTCTGTATCCAAATGGCACTGTTTCTCACAATATGGCGGACACATCTTAAGGCAAATACACACGAGTTCCCCTAGATGTGACGACCGATTTGTCCAATTCCCTAAACAACAATAGGCATCACAAGATGGCGCACTAACTAGTTTAAAGTAGAGTCCCTAGAAATAATTTCTAGGAACTCTAGTAACATATCGTGTATATATTTCTTATGTACATCACGTGTATAACCTATTTCTTCAAGTTATCTTTAATTTATATATAATTAAATTTTATTCGTTCTAATTTATCAACATATATAATGCCAAAAGTTCGTACACAGGTTACTTCCCGAATTCATAAGGAAGTAGCGAGACAAGGTATTAATATACGTATATGTATGCGGGTGCGTGCATTTATATAGGTTAGCCATAAAACAACAAATATTAATTATACAATTTTATCTTTTTATGGCACAGGAATTTTATTCCAAAAGGATAAGGGTCAGCATATTTTGAAAAACCCTTTAGTTATTCAAAGTATGGTTGAAAAAGCTGCGCTCAAACCGTCTGATATTGTACTGGAAATCGGTCCTGGCACGGGTAATATGACTGTAAAAATGTTGGAAAAAGCGAAAAAGGTAATAGCGTGCGAAATTGATCCAAGAATGGTGGCAGAATTACAAAAGCGCGTTCAAGGAACCGCATATCAATCAAAGTTACAAATAGTGGTTGGGGATGTGCTGAAATCGGAATTACCTTTTTTTGACTTGTGTGTCGCTAACATTCCATACCAGATATCATCGCCACTAATATTTAAATTACTTTCACACAGACCTTTTTTCAGGTAATTATAAATTTGTAAGAAATAATCTGACAAAAATATTTTAATAATTACAAGTTACCGCATATAGATTTCTAAGAAGTCACATTACACAGTGTTTTTTGAAAAGTTTATTGTAACAATTTGTAACGAATGTAAATTTTCAATACATAAGCAATGTTAAAAAAATAGAGTTGATGTGTACATTATTTTTTTACAGATGCGCCGTTCTTATGCTTCAAAGGGAATTTGCAGAAAGATTAGTGGCTAAACCCGGTGACAAATTATACTGTCGCTTAAGCGTTAACACGCAACTCTTGGCACGAGTAGATATGTTGATGAAAGTTGGAAAGAATAACTTTAGACCTCCACCTAAAGTAGAATCAAGTGTAGTGAGAATTGAACCAAGAAATCCACCACCTTTAATTAATTATCAAGAATGGGACAGTTTGACACGGATTGCATTTATCAGAAAAAACAAAACGTTATCCGCAGCTTTCAAACAAACCACAGTTGTGACTATGTTAGAAAAAAATTACAAAATTCATTGTAGTTTGAATAACAAGGTAATTTAAAATTTAAAATATACAAGAAATGATAAAAGTAAAAATCATGCTATTTAACACTGGAATATACTTTGTTGATATTTAAAAATATTTATTATTATTCATTGATTGACATGCTTACAGATTGTCCCAGATAATTTTGATATCAAAGCATTGATAAATCATATACTAAAAAAAGCAGAAGCTGAAAAGAAACGCGCCAGGACTATGGATATAGATGATTTTATCAGGTACGAATAAATAACATTTTGCATATTTTACATATGCAAAATATATATTATATGTTACCTTCGAAAAACATAATTGTGCATGTGTGTATGTGTGTGTTAATATCTTGTATTAATATGGTAAAGGCTACGATATTCAAATTAATAAAAGTGTCTTTCTTTTTCAGCCTTTTACATGAATTTAATGCAGAAGGTATGCATTTTACATAAGTTATATTAATTAAAATAAAATTTGTTAGCAAATTAAACATTTTTATAAAGGATTCATGAAATATAGATGTTTTATTACAAAAAAGATTATTTAATTTTTTAAGTATTTGTATTATAGATATATTATTATTGCTATATTTGGTAGATAAAATATTCTCATTAATTTATTATTTTAATTTGTATCTTATTTCAGTATCTTATTAAGTAAAGTGTGCATGCGTGCACGTGTGTATGTGTTTTGTGTGCGTGTGTGTGTAGAAGTAGAATAGAAATTTCCAGTGAATCATCAATCATATAATGATATTTGATAATGATATAATGATTTTTCTTTTTTATACCTTAAATAATATTGTTTTTACAATTCAACACATAAATATTTTTTTGTTTGAATTTGAATTTTATTTTATTTAACACTAATGTTTATATTTTTGTATGATATTTATAAAATTATTTTATTTATAATTTATACTTTTTAAAAAACCGAAGTTTTTAAAACAAAAATTTACATAAAGAAAAAAAGTAAATGTTATTAAAATAATCTTGCTTTGTATACTTAAATACGATAATTTAAAGTGCTCTCAATTAAATAGTTCATGTATTAATCAAGAGATACATCCGTGACATCTCTTGATTTTTATATTTCAAATAAGTTTCATATTGATTACAAAATAAAATAATAATTATAATTATATTAATTAGTTAAAATGTTAGTGCATATTATTTTGCATTAAACCAACATTTGTGCACATGTACATATTTTTAATTTTTTATAAAAATTTATCTTCATATACAGAATGATTTTCCTAAATGTCTAAATCAATATTTTAAGGAGTGAATGTACGGTCAAAAGCAAAAGAGAGTTATGCAAATATATGGTTTTTTTTTTTTAAATTATAACAAATTAAAAAAAGCACGTAAAGTGCCAATCTTATGCTGTAATTTTGCACTTGTTGGAAAATATGAAATGTCTTAAATTATTTCAAATCCAATGTGTATTTTCTATGAAAATCACAATCATTGATATGTGTGTATTGTATATACTTAATAGATGTTTTATATTTCGAGAAATAAAAATGTAATGCTTTTAATCCGAAAATCAAGAAGATCACGACCTTCTTTGTTCTCGCATTAATTATTGTAATGTTGGAAAATATTAAAAAAATGTACGGATTACAGCAAGAAAGTATAGTGGAGCATCATACAAAAGTCATATACAAGCCTTAATATGCAAAGGCTAGGATATTTTGTGAAAAATTATTCGAAAGATATTTGGTATTTTCCAGAGTATAAAATTGGAAATATTAAGACGTAGAATGTATTATAGCGAAAGTTGGGCACTTAAACGTAAATGAGTGTATGTGTTGTGTGTGTGTATATGTCAGTCATATAACATTCTCTTTTGCTTTTGATCCTACATCGACTCTCTTAAAATATTGATATACATTAATCATTTAAAAATCACCTTGTACACACATGCGCACGCGCATTTACACAATCTGTATAAAAAATTATTTATAAACAATAAAATTTTCGGAAAAAGTGAAGATAAAAGTTACTTTAATATTTATCATCATATATAAGAGAAATATATATGTAAGATTTCTAGTTTTGTTAATGCGTATTAATAAACATTATTCCTATAAAACTTTTATATGCAAAGTTTAATTAAATTAATCATTGTGAGATTATATATATTTACAATCTTTGGACCTCGACATGGATTATTTAGTATTACAATATCGAAATATGTACAAGTTGCTTTTTAATTATGAACATAATAGTGACAAAGGTACAAAGTGACAACGGTATTTCAGTATTGGTAGGATTTACTTCACAATTCGTCCAGCATTGAAAAGCAAAAAAAAAAAAGAGATCACACACACAAAGATATGATTTATTCAAACTTATTTCCAAGTTATAGCTTCTCAAAGTTTCACACAATCTATAAAACATAAAAGTGATGTGAAATATCCCGTATTTATTTTTTTCAAAAATCAAGATTATTTATTGATTGTTATCTTAACTCTATATACAAAAATAAGATTCATTGAAAAATGAATGTTTTAAGGCTGAAATTCACAATTGATCATTATTTGACGAATAATCGTAATTTTATGAATCTCTCCAGCTATTCGTATTTTATTCTTACAAAAATTCAGTACTTAAATAATTTTTAATTTATAAATCACTTAAACATTTAACAAATGATAAAAATTATTTACGGCTATGAATATTCACCTAAAAGATATTTTATATTTGTTTAAAAAATATTTTATATAAATATATGAGAATTTGAAAGAATATAACTCGGAACAAGATCAAACCGAATATGTATTTTTATGAATTGTCTTCATTACTTTTCAATGCTCAATCTTTAGAATGAACACCTTACCAATAATTAAGCACCTTGTGTATGTACATCATGCCACACAATTACATTCGCTTGAGAGAGAGGGAGCGAAAGGGAAAAAGCGGGAGAGAAATCCTAGCAATAATGTAACAGATCTTTTATATTGCGTTATATGGCAATAATTTTCGCATCAAATATTACCGGCATGACAGTGTCCCACATATTAAAAAATTCATATTTTAATATACATAGTGTTATATATATATATATATATGCTATGTATATTAAAATATGTTTATCTATATATATATATATATATATATATATATATTTCTTTATAAATAGAATGGTGCTTGTTTTTTTCAATATACAGATGGCTTATTTCGGAGATCTACAAGCACAGTTATAATAAAAATTTTAAAACATGAATACATCCATTTTTTTAAGAAAAAAAATGTTAATAAATATTTTCTTAAAACTAGAGCTCGTAATAGCCGTGTTCGCCAGATTATGCGGTTTTTCCTGAATTATACTTAAGACATCTAGATTTATATTATAAATTTTATGATAGTTACCTTAGCTTTTGGATTGAATAATATGCGCGTGAAGAAAATATAATAGTACAAACTACAGTGATATCAAAATTAAATGTTATTCGTTCCCGGTGCTAGAAAAACTCAAATGACATTCTTAAATCAAGATTTATTACACAATTTATCAACTAATATAAATCGCTTAATGATATTATACCGAATTAGAAATGGAGGAAGATCGAAGACGTCGTCTTTTCTTCTTTGGTCTCGATTTCTTTTCATTTTCAGGTTTCCTGCGCTTCGAATCTTTGTAAACTTTGTATGATTTACGTTTTTCTTTATCGGAATGTTTCGATGGATGCATATCGTTTTTCGATGAAACAGATATCGTTAATGTTGTACTCGCATTAGATTGCGATGAATTGAAAGCTCTGCCATTCGATCTATGATGTTCTTTCTCTTTATGTTTCTCCCTACGCTTTGATTTTTTCCGATAGGTGTAGGATTTATTCGAATGATCACTACATTGACTGCAAGAACTTAAATGATCAGAGTCTGAACAATAATGTACCTTCTTCTTTGATTTAGCTTTATATTCTTTTTTCGGCATATCTTTCTTTATTGAGGCACTGTCGTCTTGACTTTCGTACTCGCTCGTATTGCGAGATTCTTGATATCTGACTCTTGATTCTTGATGGCTCGACCTTTTATCATGTTTAGAGGCATCAGAAGATTCACTACTGCTTCTAGATCTGGATTGCTTGCTTTCGCAATACTTCTGATCTTTGTTTTTAGACCTTAACTTTTCCAAAACCGAAGCTTTTCCTTTACCTTTCGTTGTATTTTCACTTTTCGTCATATGATCGTTTGCAGTAGGCGAAGAATGTTTCCTCTTCGATCTGTACGATCTACGACATTTACTGATTTTTACTTTGCTGTCCGTCTCCTCGCTACTGCTTTCACTACTAGACGAATCCTCATCCGAATAGCTCTGTTCTCTCTTAATAAGCTTTATTCGTCCTGTACCTTTAGTCTGCACTTTATACCTCGTCTTTTTCGATCGTTTTTCATTATTCTTTACCGAGGCTTCAGATAAACTGGTATCACTAGAAGTGAATATTCTCTTTTTAGATCGTTTATTGCGACTTCGTGTTGATCTTTTATATTTTTGTATAACACTTTGTATAAACTTCTTTTGCGATAACTTTCTCGAACAGTTTTCTCGAACACTCTGTCTTTGATTATAATCACTGTCAGAATCGCTACTTGTCGAAGAACAAGATGTCAAAGACGATGATTCTTTCGTGCCATGAGACGTGCTCGGTAGTGACAAGTTTTCTGGGTATACTTTTCTCAATCTAACAAACAAAATTTCCACACTTAAAACCGTATATCATATTGACATCTGCATATTAATGAATATAAATGAATATAAGTGATACACAAAACATATACATATAAATATTGGTTTTGTCAAAAAGTTTGACTTTTATGAAGAAAAACAATTAAATAATTAAAGTAAGTATGATATAAACTCGGAGTTTTTCCAAGACGCTGAATTCAAAACCACTAACTAAACTAATTGAAATCTTGAAATTTCAAATCGCGAATCCAATCATGTAACACACACACGCAAAAAAAAATCCAAACAATATAGGCTTTATAATGTAAAAATTAAAATTCTACAACATAGTAAATTTTATATATATAAAACAATAACTTTTATTTATAGTACTTTATGAAAATAATATTCTCTTGTATTTAAAAATTTGTATATCAGATTTGAGATTTCAGAGTCACAAAAATAATTAAAAATCAAGTTTAATGAAAATGGAATAATTTTCCGAATTTGTAAATTTTAGGTTTACCATTATATATATATAAGAAATTTAAAATAGAGATTTTTATTCAACAAACCAGAAGCGATTACTATCTTTTGCGAATATATTGTAGATAAAAACATTTTTGATAGTTTGTACCTATGCATCTTTGGCGATTAATTTTCAAATAACGCATGTACGTGCATCATTTATAATATCATTGCACACAGGATTAAAAAACTTTATCCAGTTTTAAGTGAGTGTAATAATGGATATTTAATATGATTTTTTCTATAACTCACTGCGTATTCTCATTGGATGTGTGAGGAACAGTTGTAGGCTCAGATTCAGAAGAAAGTAATTCTATAATTTCCGGTGTCCTTTCGTGGCGCGGTTTTACGTAACCAATTATTTCACATTCGCCGTCTGATTCAGAAGAGCTTGAAAGGATCAAGAGTTCTGGATCGTAGTAAGTTGTTTCAACTCTGGGTAATGCCGATCCTGCTGTACTGGGACCTGAACAATCACACAACATGTATGTAATTACAATACACATATATGTAAACAAATATCACATAAAATGTAATTTATTTATTTACCTGGCATGCTGATAGGATGTGATATTGTACTAGGCATTTCAGTGTTTACTCTTAAATCGATTGCTTCATCAAGTATTCGCACATCTGAGTTATCAGAAGTGATGCTGCTGCTACTACTACTACTAGTGCTACTAGGGGTAGGTGACACAATACGAGCGTATTCATTCGACAGACCTGTAATGTCAATTTGTAAATATTAAACGTACTCTTTCATTCTCGTTTGAATTTGCAAAATCTAAATAAAGAATTACAAACCACGTGGTAAATATGTGACAGATTGATCATACCCAACTAAATCAAAGTTGGTTTGGGCAAAATTTAACAATTCGTGTGCGAAATGGTTAGTATGTATAGTGAAAAAAGGCCGCACAGTATCTCGAAATTGTCCGCTTCTAATATCAAATTGAGTTAAGGCATCCATAATTACACTCAACACATACGCACAGTGGGATGGTTCGTTGTTAAGTAAAACTTGCAACTCTCTATTCAACCATGGTACAAGACGATCTAATTCTTGCGGATGTCTTCTACAATTGATAAAAAATACTTTAAGTATCATGCATACAAGATTCTTCCGTATGATATTCAGTAATTTATAAAAGTTTAAAATGAAACATTTACCTGTAATATTCAGCGCTACATTCGCGGAAACGTCCAAATACGTCAGGTAGTGAAGTAGCCCATATGCCGTGCCTATAAATGGTGCGACGATAATCTGTGGGATTAGTCCGTCTACGTATACGTTCTTCTCTAGGCACTTGAGGTGCCATACTGGGCAATTGCTCACGTCTCACAATTTGCTCTGGGTTTAAGAAAGGTCCTGCGACAGGTCGGCGATTGCCAGTCATTGTCGTCCTGAGAGAAATATATTACAAATATAAATACATACCTTTAAATATCACTGGTATAACACAACTATTGTGATATATATACGATACCTATAAACAAATCGACGTGGAACAATTTCCCAAGGAGCAACATTATTATCAACGTCAAAGTTGACATCTAAAGTAGCTGTGACATGTGGCTCAGGAACCTGCGATGCCAACTTGCGAGGTACATGATATTGATCATAATCTTCCTCCGATCTTACATTATTTATAATCGACTTAAATTTTTGCTTGCATAAAGGGCATTCTGTCTTTATCTTGGACCATTGAAGTAAACAGGTAAAACAGAATTGGTGCAGACAACTATCTGTAAAAGATGTGTTGACCAATTTTCCCAGACAAATGCTGCAATTTGGAGGGGGCGATGTAGCGCCATCATTGCGCTCACTACTATCAGAATTTTGTACAAGAGCTTCAGATTTTATAGGCTCTTCCACGTTTGCACTGGAGTTTTTTATTTCTAATGGACCTTCCATCATTATCTATAAATGGCCATTCGTGAAGAAATTCCTGTAAAATCAAAAGAATATAGATAGCTTTTTAGAAGAAAAATAAACATATATATAAATAATTTAAAATATTGAGATATTTTTTTTAAAAAGGCTATATCTCTTTGTAAATAAATCAATTGCGCAATATTTTATAATATAAATGTAATACGTAATATAATATTGATGTAACACTGGATAAAATTGTAAAAAAAATAGATTATATAAAAAAAGGTTAAAATGTTTAAAAATCTGTACTGCGGGTGCAAAATAGACTTTATAAAATTCTGATTTTCATTTCAGCGAAATATTCTTGTTATTTTGAGATTATATATATGTATATATTGCGTATTATATACTATACGTAAAAAGGAAAAAAAAATACTAGAGACGAATTTTTCTTTAGTATGCTAATCTTTGCATTACTAATATCCTGTCACTTTATAGTGTAATAAGACAAAAAATGTTTCTTTCTCTCTCTCGTTCTATACTGTTCTGAGCATATCGAACGTTTCATTAAAATCGTGTTGAACAATCAACGAGATAATTGCATATTAAGTCGTTACATTAAAAGACATATTACATTGGAGAAACAAAAGATATCAGAAATATTTTATATGCCTGTCATATTTTCAATAAAGTTCTCAAATTTCAGTACTTGATTTTTTTGTTCGAGTATCGCCTTTATCGCTTTGCTTCCTTGCCCCTCTCTTGCTCTTTACCGGATCCTAGCGTCAGACGTTCGACACTATCCAAAACGATCCAGAATTTAGGATACTCGGTAATATCTGCGTATTGCGTAAATATATGTTCTTACGGCAATCTTTATGTAGTAGTTCCGAACATAAGACAGAAATTTCGAAAACGCGTATAAGGCAACATTTCCATAATCGAGGGAAGGAATCTACTACTCTTCTATGGTCTTCCACTACTTCGCACTGCACCACACTGCTCCACACCACTACTCTGCTACTCGGTACGCTAACGCCACCAGTATATTACAGTTGCGCCAGGGGATACAAACTCTCTCTTGTGTCAAACTCACCAAAAGTGGGGGTCAATTTTGCGCCGCCTAGGCGGGAACGTGAGAAACTAAAACGAAATAAGGTCTGTTCTTTATAGCTGAACTGGCTGCACTTAGTTCAGAGTTTATCTTTTTCCCTCCAATTGAAAGAAAAAAGATAAACTCTGAACTAGTGCAGCCAGTTCAGCTATAAAGAACAGACCTATAATGTGATGAGTAGTAAAGATTTGCGCTAAATTTAAATCTGTAAGCGTGTGCGCACGTATGTACATGCTTCATCCGCATGGGACCAAGTGAGACGATTAAAATATGTAGAAGAATTTAGTTTGTGTAATTTATAAAACTGTAATCACACTTTACATTTACAAACATCAGTGCATTGATGGTACCGACTGTACTAGTGCAGTCGTACTGCTGCTTGCTACTTGGGTCTTAAATCTGGCGTCACGGCGTCACTGATCATTAGCCGTGTTCCGATGTACTGAAATTTATAGTTTACGTAACGTACACTATAGTATTTCAGACCGTTGCGTTTCTGGCAGTTCCTGGAGCAGATCGGAGCAGATGTTGCTCAGTGTTACTATCAAGTATATTTGAATTTTTAATATTATTATTATATTTATTCCAATTTTTGGAAAAAAAATTATAACATTATTTATTATCAAAGTATTTCATAAGGGAATGAAATAAAGTTTGCTGTTTCCTTTTTTAATATACAGAAATAGATATATTTTTTGAAAATAGTGTTATACACATATTTTATAATACAGCTATGTATTCACCATTGTCGCCAAAAGCTGGTCTCAGTTCTGAATTAAGGAAAATGATAGATGAAAGAAATATGTTGAGTATGCGGAGCCGTATGAAAGGTATACATAATTTCTATACTTATTTTTTAATAACATCTTAAGAGATATTTATCAACACAGATATTTATCAACACTATAATTTTATAAGCTGTAGTATACATAAGGTACAGTTTTATACAATATTTTTAGTTTTACATGCTTTGAATGAAGATAATGAGAGGTACACAGAAGAAAGGGAAAGAATTCTAAGATTATTAGCCATTCAAGAAATATTGACAACAGAAGTCACTTATTTACAACAGTTGGAAATTTTGGCAGAGGTAAGTTTTAATATATTTTTTTATTATAATAACACAATTTAATTATAAAATATAATTTTATTATAAAAATATTATTGATATATGTTTTCCCCACAGTTTTTTATAAAACCTATTCTTGAAAGAAAATTGTTGGATCATCAATTACTTGTCACTTTATTGGAGAATATAAAGACACTGTACAATGTGAGTGGGGAACTGGTGGAAGGATTAAAACATAATCCTGATAATATAAGTCAAGTATTTCACAAACTTGCACCATTCTTCAAGTTATATTCTGTTTATGCTTATGATTATACACAAGTGCTAAATCTATTGCAGGTAATTATTGAATAGTGTGAACATTTATAAAGTATTCAATTTCTTTAAATTTAATGTAATTTTATATTTTACAGATTTATTAATTTATACATATACATTTTCACTAATTCTTTTAATGTACAAAATATTTTTGTTAAGATATAAACAAATATATAAAAAAATATTGATATTATCTATAAATTAATTTTTCTAGACAAATGAAGAAAGTAATCCTGTTTTTAAAAAATTTATTTCTGATCAAGAAACAAGACCAGAAGTGAGCAAAAAATTGTCTTCATTACTAATTACTCCAGTGCAAAGAGTACCAAGATATCAATTACTCGTTAAGGAAGTATTACAACATACTCCTTATAGACATAAAGAATATAAATTGTTACAAGGTAATTATACTGAGATTTTAAATTTGTCATAAGAGAGCTTAACCGATAAATGGCACATGTGTCCATATCATTTTAAATCTTAGTTTGTTTAAATAAAGTATTTTTTTTTTTTTCAAACTTTTTAAACATAGTAATTTTTTTTGAAACTTTAAACAAGATGTGCAAATTTGTCTACAATTTTTTGAATACTTTATCAGAAATCAGCTCAAATACAAATAAAATGGTGCTCTTTATGGACATTCAAAATATATGTGCTATGTAAAAATTAATGCATATTATTAATGTGATTTTAATTTACTTTTAATTGTAGCATGTTTGGTTGAAATCGAAAAATCCACAAAGCATATAAATACCTTGATCGCACAGACCGAAGAAACACAAAAATTATTGAATCTGCAAAAGTGCATTGTTACTTCAATCAATCTTGTCAAACCTGGTAGAATATTAATTAAACAAGGACCACTGATGCGTGTCTCAAGACGGGGCAATTCTGTTTATAAAAGATATTTTGTTCTTTTAAATGACAATTTACTATATTGCAAGGGTGAACCAGAAACTTCATTAAGTGTATCTTGCGTCCTTCCATTAAACAAGTGCAGATTAACTTGTATTGTGAATAAAAAATTATTCCGTATAACGTGTTTGCATGAAACATTTCTGTTATACTCTGAAAAAAATGACTGCGGCGAATGGATAGAATCTATACAAAGTGCTATCGGAAAAGTATCTATTACACATTATTGGTATCATTTAGCATTTAGTTTTTTTCATTAAATATATCGATACCATGTTTTATTTTTAGTACACCGAATGTAGACAAACTTTAAGAAAGGAAAGCAGTTCAAGAAAGCCGCTTAGGCATAAAAATATTAATAAATTTTCATCGAATGATATATTGAAGAAATCCATTAAGAGGAAAAGATATACAGAGGAGGAACAGGTAAACATTAAATTTTTTTTGTACACATAATGACGTTTCTAACTGGTTTGTGAAATAAGATTTTTTTTTTATCATTCGGAAAATAAGATTAATTTTTTATAATTTTCTGTGTGCTGAATCTCGATATAAAATGTGAAAATGTGCATATCATAGAATTTTGAGATAATCAAGGAAAAATAATGATTGCCAGAAATAATGATTTTCATAATATTTACAATGTTTTCCAGAAAGAAATACTTTTTCCTTTAAAAGAAATAAGAAAAGAGAAGTATGTTGTAGACTCTCCATGTAATACATTCCGCACAACGTTGAGTAGAATAGATTTATAGAGTTAAATGTCTTTATTTTAATCCATAAATAAACCGAATTTACTGCATAAAAAATTTTAGAAAACTGTATTAACTCCCTTTCAAACAATCGACAATGCTATTTTACCAGATATTATAATAATAAATTAATGTCAATTTTTACAGGTATCACTGGATTCTTCCAACATTATATACTTTGAAAAGAACAACAAGACAGCAGAGATTGGCGCTCAAAGAAAAGACATTGATTTACCTTTTGGTTCCAAGATAAAAAAATCTAAACAAAATGATTATTCGAAAGACGACAATATTGCTTTTCGAGTGAAAAATATGAACTTGAAATTATGTAAAAGTAGAAATAGGCAAAGTGTACCTGAATATATGGGAAAATCATGTAATAATGATCCTGCTATCGAGGTGAGTAGAAATGCGTTTACTGAAATATATGAATATTAAGGTAATATTTAACATTTTTTCTTAGGATTTAGCAACAACGAAAGAAAATGGACCAAGCCCATGTTTAACAACTTCGAGTATGAACGAACATACGTCATCGTCATTTTCAATAATCAGTAAATTTTTTATGTACATCCGTACATCTATAACCGATTTGTTTACATTCAGATAATTGAATATGTATTGTGTGTTGTAACACAAGAAAAATAAGAAATAAATAAATTATTTATAAATACCGAAATTGTTTAATTTGTATTAAAAATGAACGATTTAGAGATTAAAAAACGAGGTGCCACGTTTTATTTGTTCCATATGTGTCCATATTAATTGTTCGCTTAAACAAGAAAACTTTTTGTCTTTCTAAAGACAAAAAGAAATGAGTACAATGTCAACTGTAAACTTAAATAAAAAATTATGCTAATATTATATACATTGTATTTCAGTTTGCATAATAATAATGAAATATAGGAAGAAAAACTATATGTCATGACGATATCGTCTAAATTCTTCAATCCTTATCTGAACTTACGATAATGTCGTACCTCTTCGCAGCTTTTCTAATATTCACTTTATCTAATAATATATTAATTATTAATAATAATAAAACTATTTGCCTATTAATTTGCTATCATAGATTTTTTGTTTCTCGATTCTTCGATACACATATATTTAGACATTTTTTAAAGCTTTAGTTTTGAGTTTCAAGATTCTTAAAATATCAATTTTTCAAGATTTTTGAAATCTTTTAGGAATTTTGTTTAGTTTTTGAATCTTCGATTCTACAAACAATTTTAAAGCACATTATAAATTAAATCTTTTCAGTTTTCTAAAATTTTTAATTTTATATTTTATCCTGAATTCTTAAACTACTTAATTTTTCACGTATAAATTCTCACGAATTTTAAACTCTCATAGAATTTTTATACTTTTTATTGTAACATACTGAATATTCAGTAAAAAGTATTTTGATATTTTGTAAATTTCTAAATTTTACGAAGTATCCTGTATATAACGTATATAACTGTATCTATATATACATATATAAATTAAAAGTTATTATATTATATATGTTCTAAGAATCAATTTTTAAATTAATTTTAAGATCTTTTAATATCCATTGTCATGATAAATAACGTGCGACTTTTTACACAACAGCCTTAAAAGCTCATTAATCCCTTAACAGTTAAGAAATAAAAAATTTGAAACCAATTAACTTTATATAAAGATTATATATTGAAGGCTTTTGAAGACGCTAAATTCTGCAATCCAAATTTTGAATTAAAACCATAAACTCAACAAGTGAAAACAGTCCAAATAATAAGGAATTGATAAAGTTAATATTTGATTTGAAGAAGTAATAAAATCGACACATGATTTAATTAAGGCACAATAGGAAGAAAGACAAGTCAATGCATGGACATTAAAGATCCCATTTTGCTTGCAATTGTGTTAGAAACACGTGCGCATTGTTAACAGTTAAGGGATTAACAATATCATAATCGTAAGTCTAGATAAGGATCAACAATATATATCACAGCTTCAGATTACATTCTTTACGCTCAAGTCATATCATACTAGATATTTTCACAAATATCACCTACTTACATTACGAGTAATAGTAGTTTTATCTCATTTGAAAAGTTGACATAGCCATATTTAGCGACGTTTGTGCTAAAAATCGAAATGTAAACTTTGGACCAAAAAATTCACAAGCAATCTCTGGTAAAGCTTTGTTCCTCAAACGTAATGTTTCCTACTTGTTGATTTTGTTCATAAATAAACGCATATTCGCTATTCACAATGTTATAGTTATATTACAGATAGCTTTGGGACATCAGCCACGGCTATTTCTCATCTGGCCTGATCGAGTAACAACGAAGCCGCCATTTCTACATCGTATTTAGTCTGCTTCAAAGCTTTTTCACACAGTTCTCTATTAGCCAGGCCCAATCTGAAATCATAATAAAGTTAAATTTAAAAAGCTGTACAATTAACAAAGTTATTTTGGTGATTTTACAATCAGATAAAATTCTGTGCAATAAAAAAGCGAACTGTTGTACATTTTTCTGTTTCTTTTAAAAATGGGAAAACTGATATAATAAGATAATGAGTGAGGAGGAGGGGGAAGATAATACATGACAGAAAAGAGAAAAAAGAAAGATAAATAGAGAGATGGACAATAAGAGAGGAACAGGAAAAAAATTCCAAGACGAGATACCAAAAATTAAAAAATAGCAATTAATCAGTACTCGAACCGTCGTTCCAAGAAGACAAGCTTACTTTTCAGAATGCTATCACAAGATACGCAGAATATACACATACAGATAATTTTATAAATCGACTAATACTTTAAAATATTCACCTCATGAGATTTTCGACCTTCGCCTGCCTGTCCTTCGTGATCTGTTTGGCGGCTTGATTCGTGTCCCAACCAGTCGCTTGCAGCGCGGCTAATACCTCCTGCTGTGAAGCATCCGCGGCTTCCTTTTGTACCTTCATAATCTTACTCGCCCTAAACTCGTCGCTTAGCGACATTACTAATTGCTGAGAGGTTGCGGTGAGCGGTGGACTAGTACCGACCACATGCTGATCGATTTGTAGTAAATTTCCCTTAGCGGCGGCCAAATCGTTCGTCGTTATTAATCCGGATGTATTATTAGCTGACATGGAAGTTTCAATTTGTAGCATATTGGAGCGTCCGTTCAGATTACACTTCGCCGCAGAATAATGATTCTGTACATAACCATTTTGACCGGGTTTAAACGGATTCCGGGCTGAAGAAGAAGGAGGAGGATTGTAAACCGGCGGTTGCTTCAGATAAGGACTAAAATCACAAGAATGTCCTTGATTAACAGTCTGACTTCTGTTAATGATAGTTTTCTGTTGCTGCTGGTTGCTCGCCGTTTCTTGAGTGTGGCTTTGGCTCGACTCACTGCTCAGGTTATTAGAATAATAATTTCGGAGGATATTTTGTTGAACAGCCTTATTGTAGAGAGTATTGAATTCGTTCTGGGACAACTGCTCTAAATTCGGTACCTGTAAATTATTTAAAATTATTTCTTAAAATTCAATGAACATTAAATCCTAAATTCTAACATTTTTCAGTTTTGATAATTATTGTATAATATTATCCAGTTGTATTACATAAAATTGTCGTTTTTCCAAGACAAAAAAAAATAAATTTGATCTCATCAAAGTACATACCATTAATAACATTAATAGTTTAGTAATAAAATATTAATAGTTCTTTTCTTACAAACTAAATGATATATTTTACGGATGTCTATTACATACCATTTGCTTCAACTCGGCATATACTTGTTCCGATAGGAGCGTAGTGGGCTTTAAATGTTGCGATTGCTGCAAATCATTTTGTATATGAATAATCCCGCAAGTATTACTCATGTTGGACGACATTGGCACATTCTGAAGATTGGTCTGATGCGATGCAAAAGCACTCTGATGAAAAACTGGTGTCGTATTCTGAGGATAACTCTGGCCCATTGATGGACAAGTTTGATTAGAAGTAGTCTTAGGTACATTGCTAGACCTGTATTGGGAAGATTTGATTGCGCTGTTATTGGAAGTGTGATTGATGCTTGGTTGGAGCAAGTTAAAACCAACACTAGGCGTATTATGAAGACAATTCTGACCACTCGTTGACGAGTAAACTTGCGTTTGGTTTAAGTTTACTTTTGGATTAATGGTTGCATTGTATTGAGAATCAGTTGGACTAACGGAGACATTACCAACGGCAATTTGTAATGGATTGAAAGCAGCCTGACCAATGCTTGTCGTAGCTTTGGCAACGTTGTAGGGAGTGTGTTGAGCTTCATCCGTACTACTACCAGCAATGCCGCTGGTAGTTTCCTGAAGCAGATTGATGCTACTCTGACTGACATGCGTCGTTTGAGAGTAATTCTCATTTACCGAACTGCCTTGTGTCTGGATAAAGATAGCCTTCGCTACATTGCTGGGACCATGCTGGCCATGATCATTCCCGGAAACGTTGCTGGCGACTTCTTGAAGGCGACTAATGCTTCCCTGAGCCGTCGGAATGGGCGTCAACACCTGACGATTAGGTAGATCAGTCGGGCAGTTAGTTTGCTGCTGAGAGAGAGTATTTGTTTGTTGCCAAATTTGAGTCACTATAGCATCGGTGATCGATTCTGATACGCGCTGATCACCCTGGACACATGGTTTCTGGACATTTGTACTCTTTGGTTGCCAGGAATTTTGTACCTTGCTAGGCAACGTCGAAGAAGAAGACGCTCGATGATCCACAGGCGACTTTGGTTTCCCCGGCGGCGGAGGTTTTAGCGTCGGGATAGCCGACGAAGATTTACCAGCATCTTCCGTCACTGAAAGTCGTTGCGTCGACGTAGAACTCTGTCGCAGCTTGTCCGAGGATAAGCGCAGAAAATTTGAGCAAGTAGCCCCTAGCTCCTGGCCGCTATCTTTGCCGCTAGTATTTGTGTTCTTGGTCGCCTCTTTCTCGCCAAGATGCTTCTCCAATTCAACCAAGAAATCCGGGTCTAGCTTTTTAGAAACGCTAGAGTTGGAATTCAACGATAGCTCGTTCATACTCTGCGCTAGCTCGCAGTTGGATTTGGACTTTGACGGACTCGTGTTCGGTCCGACAGAAGGAGGTGGAGGCGGGGTTGGAGTTGCAAACGACGTTGGCTCTCTGCCGGAAACATTGACATACGTTTGTGCGGTATTTCGTAAATCCTCTGGCCAAGTAGACCAAGTGGACTGGCCTCGCGGACTGGCTTTATCTATCTCGCTGTAGTGACTCGGGAGATTGTCATCTTCCACTTTGAGGTTTACTGTGTTTTGTTGATACTTTTTGTTCAAATTCATTGAATATTGGCGAGTTTCCTGAAAAGAATAAACAAAATAAATTAGTGTTACAGAATCTTGCTAATTAAAGGCTGGCTATTATTCATAGCTAAAATTTCGATTCGTTCACTTTTATTTAATCACTTTATATAAATAATTAATTGTACTGTTCTATTGTAAAATACAGAAGAGCACTTACTAAAATCTAATCAATTTATTCCATGCATAAACTTTGTTAGAAACTTTAAGACCAATTGATATTATTTGTTAATAAATCCAAAGCAAAATTTATAAAATTTATTTCTAGAATACGTACCTCCGTATCAGTGGAATCGGCGATAAAACAATTTGCAGCACCTTGAGCATGATCTCCCGTTACTTGATTATCCACATTTTCATAAGTCTGAGTCTTCAAATAATGACTAGCGATGTCAGCGGGCACATGACTGTAATAACGCGAATGTGGCGGCTTCATGAACACAGAAGACGTATCGAAGGGATCGGAATACGCGGGATTCACGTTCTCGGGAAAGTTGGCGTAAGTCCTACCCTCCTCGTCTTGCCAAGAAAACTTCTCGCCGTCGATGGGTTCATCCAAGATGTTAACCACTCGTCTACACGCAGCCTCCTGTTCATGAATATTCGCGCTTGCTAATTCTTCGGCGGACAGATCAATCAGAGTGCCTTCCAAATTGGAGCTCAAACTTGACGATGTCTGTGAAGTTTTGATAGGACTCGATCTAGTGTCGTTGTGCAACTTGGTGTAATTAAATTGTTTCTTTGTGCGCGGTGCGGTGCAAGAGAATCTCTTCTTCGCCTGGTTATCAGTTGATGCCGCCACTAACACATCTGGAGGATCCATCGGGTTTCTCAAGTATACATCATCGATGTAGACAGGACTGCCCCAGCTTTTGCCGAACGGCGCACCATGTCCTGTATGGATGAACGAGTTCTCCAATGGCTTGCTAATATCTTCTGGCTGCTTTCGGCGCATCGGATCGACCAAACAACGCGGAAAGTGTGCCACTTGGAAAGTCCGTTGATTTTGGCCTTTCCACCAGTAGTTCTCTGGACGTCCGTCGATGATAGCAATTTGGTCTCCCAATTCAATGGACATCTTGCCGGTTTCTTCGAAAGCAGTTAAAGCCTTCATTACAGATGGTACCATGCCAATCAATGATTCCTTCAAAGAAGCAAACGTCGGCCTCTCCGAAGGCTCTCTCGCCCAACAGCGAAGCATCAGCTCGTACATACACGGAGGTGTCGCTTCTGGTTCGTGAAGTCGTTCGCTTTCCCGGTCGATTTTTCGTAATATCTCAGAACCGTTCAGGCCTAGCCAGGGTTCCTCACCAAATGTCAGCATTTCCCATAGCGTAACACCAAACATCCAAACATCCGACGCGTGACTGAATTGCCGAGCCTTGAGAGATTCCGGAGCACACCAAGGAAAAGGCACTTTTTTATGTTCTGTCATAACGTAGCAATCCTCCTGTTGTGGCAGCGCTCTCATCAGTCCAAAGTCTCCAATCTTCACCTTGTCGACTGTGCTTAACAAAACGTTTCGGCATGCCAAATCACGATGTAGAAAACGTTTTGCTTCTAAGTATGCCATACCTGTGGCAACTTGTAGCGCGTAGTTGCAGAGTGTGAGAATTGAAATTCTGCCACACTGCTGTCGCAGATAATCGAGTAGTGCGCCAAGAGGTGCAAGTTCGGTCACCATCATCATTGGCTGCGACAATACCACGCCGTACAATCTGATGAGATTATGATGATCCAAAGTATGCATTGCCTGAACTTCAGAAACAAAGTCTTCTATAACGCTCGGTTGCGTAAGAGCATCTGCTTTTAAAACTTTTACAGCAACGGGTAAAGTCCGTCCAGAGGGAGAGGTCCATTCGCCTCTTCTAACTACGCCAAAGCTTCCGTCACCCAGTTTAATAGATAGCGTCACGTCTTTGTCTTGTATTAGACATGTTAGCACAGAAGTCTCAATGGGCTGCGAGGATCGTTTACTATTCTTGCCACTACTGCCAGGTTTAATTTTCGTAATTAAGCTTTTCTTCCATTGGGTGCTCCGTCTTTTTTTTATCGCATCCAGCAAACGTCTGACACCAGGCTTACCCAAGCCGATTTTCTCCAAATCTTCTGGCTGGACATAATCAAAATGATGCAGTCGAGTAATCTGCAGATCGTCTCGAATTCGCGTAAAGAATTGGGAAAGCTGCACATCATGCAGGAGCTCTTGAAGCCACTCTGTGCTCTCCTCCTCTGCCATGACAGCTGAAGTTTCTTTACTTACTAAGATATCCTCTCTGGAAATATACAGATGTTAAATATATTTGTAAGAAATTGATAAGGATTCAAGATTTTTAAGATTTTCTATATTTTATAGCACTGATTCCCATTTCAATAAACTCATTTTCAATTTTATTTTATTATGAACAAAACTGAGTTTTAATATAAACATTTTTTTAAACTATTAAAATTTGTAGTCATAATCCCGAAACAAATTTTTAACTCTGTTTTGCAACCATGTCAATTTGTATCAATCTTATATCATTGTTGAAAAACATTTGAATATTATGTCACATTATGTCAATCATATTACTTGTTAGAAATCATTCTTCATGGACTGTTAAATTTTCATGTTTATGGTTTATCAGAATTCACATCTTTGAAGAAATTGCTTATCATTAGAATTTAAAGTCCTTGACATCCTTAGATTGTTAAAATGGTAATTCCATAAAATCTCAAGCTACATTTTGTCTCCTTTTCTCTAATTCTTCTTTTGCAATTCATACAAAATATATATACAATTAACAAGACTTTTGCATAACCATTGATCTAAAACAATCTATTCTTTGTCAAACTTCTTATAGCCATAACCTTCAAAAGATATGCGTGACACTAACTTGTGGATTCCTCTCTTATCATCTTTCTCCCTCAAGGAAGCATTGTAGAGCGAGGACACCCGGTTAAAATTCGTCAACACTTACGACGAGGCTTTTCTTGAGACACCGTTCACTTTAGGACGCCCGAGAGTGGCAGTGTTGACCTTCGCTCTGTCGGAATTTCCGACGACATACACTTTCACTCGACAGTTTTCCAATATGATGCACTCAACCAAGTTATACCGCGCGCGCGCGCGCGCGCTATTAGGGCGAAGGGTGAGTATGCAATGCAGTCGAGAAACAACTAATGATATGAAGGATATGAAATCGCGATCTGAGCATCAATCATGTAATTTTTCCCTAGGAATGAAAACGTGAAAAATGAAAACTTTTATGTGAATTCGACAATTCTATTCGTGAAATTTTCACTTTCCGTAATACTTATGGCGGATTCACATTCTGTCTGATATTTGATGTACAATAAACGTCTCCGTTTTACATTACTTTTCTTCTTTTTATAGTTTGCTATCTCTATTTTTTTAAAACTTATTTTAGTATTGTCTTTATAAAATAAATTTTCTATTATAATTTTTATTATAATGCACTTCAGTGATTGCACATTTATTTTAATAGACTCCTAGAAGTACTCTAGAGTCTTTTATTTTAAGCATAAGTAGCGCTATCTGTGTCAGAGAATGGAAAATCAAAATATTCCTAGGAGAGATACGTCGGTCTATATCTTTAGTAACACAAGGTCTAGTTAACTTTGCTTCTTCACGCTTTTGGTCTTTTCCGGTTAACGTGTTGTATATGCGGGTACGTATGTTACAAAAAGATTTTGATAATGAAACAAAATCTAATGTAATCCGTCGATATATTGGATACAACATATCGCTGTCATGTGTTTTTGATATTGCATTTTCCGTACATATATTACGAAGTATTATCTTTAATGAAATATGATGATATGTTTAACGACAACACGATGTAACCTTCATGCTTGTAGCTATCAACGATTCACATTTTTAAGATTTCTCATTTTATTAAGATGGAAAAATTTAATTAAAATTATATAGCACAAAATTAATTTATGAGTTTATAAGATTTTATCAAATTTTTCATGCAACTGCTATTTATTTTAATGCACGTAAATATTTTGTGTTTTAGAATTTATTTTAACCTCCAAATCATATTGAATTGTTGCAATAGCTATCATAATCTACAAATTATATTAAACTGTGGAAATTATTTAGTGAAGACATTTTGTGTTACTTAATTCTTTACTACATGAATTAAAAGCACTTAAAAATCTAACAAACTTATGACTCTATGATGAACATGAAAATTATGAGTGATAGATTTGATGCTTTTGTTATTCTATCTTAGAATCTATAATTATTGTAGTTTAGATATATGTTATAAATTATTAATGTAAATTTATTTACATTTCAGAATGAAGCAAATTGTCACTAATCAAACAGTTAAAATTCCAGACGGATTGACTGTTACAGTCAACTCCCGTCTGGTAACTGTAAAAGGACCAAGAGGCGTTCTAAAACGGTCCTTCAAACATCTGGCGCTTGACATTCGTGTAAGTAAAAAATTATTACAAAATATTTTTACGTAGAATATTTTCTGTATTTCATATTATTTGTCTATATTTGTAACTTTGATTTATTGTTATATTGAAGATAACTTGTGATGATAATGTGGATTCCCCTTCATTTTTTATAAATGATACTTCCTTATCTGAAATATTTCTGAATTATATTAAAATATATAAAGTTTACATTGTATTCTATAAATTTATATTCTTTCCTGTATTAGATGGTCAGCCCAAGATTATTGAAGGTGGAAAAATGGTTTGGTACGAAAAAGGAATTGGCTGCAGTTCGTACAGTATGTTCTCATATTGAAAACATGCTGAAAGGAGTAACGAAGGGTTATCAATATAAAATGCGTGCCGTATATGCGCATTTCCCAATTAATTGCGTTACAACTGAAAGTAACACCGTTATTGAGATCCGAAACTTCTTGGGTGAAAAATTTATACGCCGGGTCAAAATGGCACCTGGTGTAACTGTGGCTAACTCGGCCAAACAAAAGGACGAGTTGATTATTGAAGGAAATAGTTTAGAAGATGTGTCGCGATCAGGTAAATACTTTGCATAACATTGTCCTTTTGGATGAATAAATGAAAACGTCAACTTAACAATATTGATAAATGTTATTTTATTTTAGCTGCTCTTATTCAGCAATCGACTACGGTAAAGAACAAAGACATCAGAAAGTTCTTGGATGGACTTTATGTGTCTGAAAAAACCACAGTTGTACAAGATGATGAATAAAATAAATCCTGGATTAATATTAATAAAAGTACCATTACTGACCCACATAGTGTCGTAAAAAATATTTAATTTTTTATTTGTACTAATAACAGTACAATACTTCTCAGCTGTAAAACTTCTCACTGTAAAAAAAAGAAGGTAATTACGTCAAGTATATCATTATCATATTTACTGACAAACCATGTTTTTGTTGCTATACCAAACAAAAATATGCATTAATTGCTGAAGAAAAGGACAGAAGATATACCGTCGGCATATATGAATGATATGATTTCTTTGAAATTAACCTGTTTAACATACTTCATTAATTGTTATTCGTTAATTTATGATGATAATTCATTAAATCAATGTAAAAAAAAGCGAATCTAATTTATCCTTTCTTAATAATTTTTCTTATAAAGCTAAAACAATATTATGCAATTTTACGAATATAAGTAAAAATGATAGCGATACATTTTTATTGTAAGAAATATCGGTCTTCATAGCGATGTCAAAAACACGTGTGGGCCTACTTGATAAAGACGCGAGGTCGGGTCAACAGTCATTGCGAAGTATGCCTTTTATTAGTAATAGTGTTGTTTTCAATGGACACTTATTGTAATCATATCGATGTATTATTTCATTCAATATGCGTAAACATTTACAACAACATGAAACGAATAAATATTGAGATATTTGCTGCTATATTGATCATCGCAGCGCTTAAGACTTTATCTTGTTCTTACAATAATATTGTTACACATTTCAGTAAGCAAGATTTGCATTTTATATCTCAATATTCATCATATATTCGAAGATGTTTATAAAAATCCAATCGCGAAATGTGCTAAAATGCAAACGCAAAGAATTTGATTGTATTGCATACCTATTAATATTATCACAAATATATTTTATTCCTTGATTTATCGCAGAAGTGCTTTGAAAAAATAATAATTTATAATAAAAACAAATTTAAAAATAAATATAACGTACCGGGTGCTGCTGTATGTTTTAAAATAGGCGGAACAGTGATGTAAAGTAAACCGGAATAACATTAAATCGGAATAAGATAAGACTCGAGAGAATGAAAGGAATGAACTAGAATGTGTTATTGTACGTCAGAAGATCCAAGAAATTCAACTGTTCGGAGAATATCTAACTATACCAAAGAAGAGAAGAGAAGCCGAAGATGATAGAAGAAACAGAGATGGCTCAAGCCTTTTTGGCGCCCCTACAACAATCTGCAAAACCGAAGATGGATCAATTAGAGAGATTCAATTCTGTTAAAAAAAATATATAAAAAACGAGTTCTGGATCAAAGGAACATCTTTTGATTGGTCACAAATTGTTCAGGTAAATAAAAAAAAAAGACTTGTGACACCAAGTATGTATTTTTTATTGAACAATGGCTATACAGTTACACACACACACACACACATACGCGCGCGCGCGCGCGTAAGGTTTTTTTTAAATTTAATTAATGCAAGAGCGTACATTGGAATTGCAATATTTTTTTTATCTCAACATAATTAAGTTAGTAATTAATGTCTGATGAAAGATTTAATTGTAAAAAGCCGTCACTCGTTTTATGTAATTTTACCTTTGGACTATTATACGCAAGATCACCTTCGGACTGTAGAGTATAGCATATCTTAATGTCAATCTTTCAACTTTTCCGCTTTTTTTAAAATTTTTTTTTAATGAACTTTATTATCATTACTTGCTTGCGATGAATAATCGACAAGTATAACAGTCCAACCGAATCTTAAAATGCTACTGGATTATTATGTAAAATAATATGAAATCTTAAAAATGAAAAAAATAGAAAGAGAGATGTTTGCGACTTAATTAGATCGGAGCAGTATCACTTCTGAAAAAAGTATCACAGATGTGGAGATTGGAGGCAAATATTATGCCGGAAAAATAAAATAAACTTTAACAACTTAACACGCATCATTGCTGACCGTTGTACTTATCAAAAATTACACTATAAACTTATGCATTAAACTTATACATTAAAGTTCAGTGATATATCGTATAAATTTATGAGCAGTTGATATGGTTTTGCTGTGCAATGTTTACATACAGTACATACTTCTTAGAATTCTTCTATCGAGTAAATAGATTGTTCCTACTAACAATGAGAAAATAATTGCTTGGATAAACAAAAATAAAAATAAATATAAATCATTATCGAGTTGGTTAAAAAATTACACAGTTATACTATAAGTGTCTAATTCTTTTTATTCCACGAATACGATTATTTATGCAATTGCATGCATTTTTTATGCATGGATAAAGTTCATTGTTGCATCGACAAAAACATTTATATATTGTTTAAATATATGATACATTCTTCAAGACAACTTTACAACACAACACTTTTCACTGCCTAAGTTGGTGGAGGAAATTAAAAAAGAAATTTATTTGTTCATTAACGACTCTGTCTCGATGTTTTTGAAGTAAAAAATCTCTTCTTTTTTTTTTTCAGGAAAGGACTGGTGTCGCCAAACCGGTAGGGGAGAAGGGGGGAGCAGTGGGGGCGACCACCTACCCAAAGATAATTCTGGGGGGGGCTACCCCCCCCCTGAAATTTTTCTGTTTTCTTCAGGTATTTCATGATCGAAAATATTGAGTATCAAATATTTATATCAAAGATGGAAAAATGGATTATTTTTTTTCTTTTTTTTGACTATTTACTCGTTTAATTGAAGTACACGAGGAAAATACACGAGTAACGAAGAAAATTAAGCGCATTAAATTAATTAGAACAAAATATTTTTCGTACATTTATACTACCCACTAAGTGGCCTATTATTTGGTGTTTGAATGGAGTTACATACATACATATATATATATATATACATATATATATATATATATACATATTATATTATGAATGTATTATGTATCCCCTTTATAAATTTTGCCCCCTCAGATGAAAATACTTCCGCGGCGCCTGGGAAAGGACATATAATTTTTCAAAGCATTCTTTCGCAATTTGATGTTGCAAATTACTCTTACGCCTTGAATATCAACGATCACAGAGAGGAGAAGGGTGCTCCTGGCGAAGTGGGGACTTGAACAAGCTAGAGAGAGGAAGGAAGGCTGGAACCTGTCTTCGAGTTCGTACTCTATCCTCGGTCGTAGACAGTCCGCCTTCCCATCCGGTTTTAAATCGACGCTCAAGTGCATTTAGTTGCTGCATGTTCCGTGAGTACATCACGCTTAATGGGCACTTTTATAATTTTATTTTCGCAATCGCACAACGATCTGGAGAAATAATTGTCCGAATATATAAGTTATATCAGCTGTTGAATATAAAATTTTGTACTTTCACATTCCGTCCACTCGTTCGACACGATCGTACAATCTGCACGCGATATATGTATCACGCGCGTGTAATAATGCTTTCTCAGCACTATCTCCAGAATTAGAGCTGAAGATGTGATTGCCAAATGTCAAAAGTTACAAGTCAAGCTAGCTTATCGCGCTTCCGACCACGTGTAGAGACTTTGCTTCGGATTGAAGTTTTTTTAAAAAAACACATCTCCAGAAAGTGGCATGTGTTATTTTTCACGCTGAAACAGCAAGAATTGCTTTTCTTCCTCCTGTGAAAAATCGCAAAAAATTGGGCTTACCGATCAACTCGACTAATAAGTATTTTTTTTTTTCAAAGAGCGATTTATCATAATATTCTATAATTAATGTCATACAATGTCAAACTCTAACACATTTAACATATCACGCAATGTTATCGATAGGAAGTTGCGAAAAACACTTCGCGATCGAACATGATCGTAATATAATTATCAGGTTCACCCATCAAAAGATATGCATGTGCTCTTCTGCTCCATCGAGTTCATCAAACATTATATTTTGAAAACTGGTCTAATCAGTCTAAATTTAGAATTAATCAACATCTTTGCAATGTACAATTTGGACTCATCAAAGATACGCTCTAATGTGTAAAAATTAATATCATTCCAGAGAATTACTATTTAAATTTATTTGCAACAGTTCTATATTTAATTTAAATCGGTCGAAACCAGGGTTGGCAAAGAATCATTGATTCGCCTTTTTTTGAACAAGGAGAATTAATAGGCTTTAAATCGTTTGATCGGGACTTTCATAAGAAATTTCCGCCTCTAAATATTATATTTCAGAACGCGCGTGTTTTGATAGATGGAAAATAATGACTAATTATTATAATTAGTCCATGCAAGCATTTAAATGCTTGAATATATATGGATAATATTCTTTTGACATTTTTGTACTTCGTCATTCAAGTGTATTAATACATACTGAGTTATTTACGTTATTAAATAATTAAATATTTATCTCTTTTTTCGCCAAAGCAACATTTAGTTATTCAATTATTTGGAATCTTTAAAAATTTAAATTTTTTGTTAAAAGATAAATAGATAGGAGGTACAAAGTTGCTGTTTCAGTCAATAGATTTTTTACTGCAAATTTACTGAGAACTATTTGCTTTTTAATTCAAAATTTATTTAATGATCAATAAAGTTTACACGGTCTTTTGTAAAGTTTATTATTAGCAAAACCACACGAATTTCATTGGATACTTGATTTTTTTACATGCTAGCCACATAAATAACGTTAATATTTTTTAAATTTTCTTAGAAATGTATTTGTTATTTTTATAATTATCATAGATTTAAAATTGCATAAATTGCGATAATTGCATTGACAGTTTCTAGTTTGATAGCTCTTATTTGTTTTGGTAATATTCCAGGAAAACACTTTTAGTTAAAAATTATTCGCGTCTATATACATAATACTTAATTGTTTGATGAATGTCTGTTAACAAGTTTTAACTTTCAAGTGAGAAATCTGGAGAAATAATTGTCCGAAACTTTTTATCGAACAGATAGCCTTTTTAGAAGGATATAAATTTTAATTTGTTTTGAATCTGTTGTGTCATTTTATCATTCCACATAAACGTTTTATTTATATGGTGCGACTATTATTAAACTTATTTGGTATAATTTAATGTCAGTGATATCGAAACATGCGGTTAAAGAGTGATTTTAACGCAAATAAATCTAAAATTGTTTTGTACTGCTCAACGCAAAAAATTAATTGCTCTCAATTACATAAATACGCAGATAATTAAATTTCTCTTTGAAACAATTTTCACATCATAATAAACAAATCAAATAATGATCACAATTTTTCACGTAACTACACACTCTTAAATAATCGTAGATAAGTCGTTTATCAGTAATACAATTAAGAATCAGCAATTTTAAATGTACTCATACATAAGAAATGTTAAAAGAATTATGGTAGTGACAAATTAACAATAGAGAACAAAGGTGCGATTTTGCATACAAGAAACACATATGAATATTCTAATTATACGATAATTATTCTTTTTTCATTAATAAATAAATACTAGATAATGCTTTTAGAAAGGAATGATGATCAGTGTGTTATCGAACGAATATTATGAATTTACTTAGCATCGGCCAAAGTCTATTATTTAATTTCTTTGAAACCTTTGGACTTTGTTAATCCTTTAACTGATAAATAAAATTGCAGATATCTCACGGATAAATTATTTGCGTGAAATTAATTATGAAATTAATTTGTGACTTGTGAAATTAAGAATATCATTTAGAAATTAAACTAAAATTTTAAAATTATTTTTCAAATGCAGTAATATTGGGTGCGTTCAGAAAACACAACAGTTGCACAGCTGTTGTGTATGTCTTGTCAACACTCGACGTTGATTTGTTGGCTCTAAAAGATCAGATAGAATACTTCAATAGCGATGAGCGCTCATACAACCGTTGTGTTTTCTGAACGTACACTGATAATATTTCAAATACTTAATCGAACTGCAATTAAATATACGCGCTTAATACATTTGCGTCACGTAAAGAGATAAATTCTCTTTAATAGAATTGCAAAACAAATTAATCTCGCAATAAAAAATACGAAGAGATTTATTATAAAAACATAAATTGTAGTTCATTTTCCAATAAAATTTCGTTTATTACATTATCTTTGCATTATTTATACGCATTAGCAGTTGCTATAACTACTCCACGCGTGCATATCATTAATTAAAATGTCGCGTATCATTGAACATAATCGTCAAATCACTCGACTCATCCCAATACATTATAGCGAATAGATATCTCGTTGCACGAGAAGAAACGTGACGTGATCGGTTAATGCGTGAGCGATTTTCCCGGTGTAAAAGTCCACAGTGTGTACCGTCGACCGGATTCCGCTTGAACTTTGCGCATACTAGTCACACACGCAGCACGTATGTGTGCGCGTGTAGTTAATCATTTTGCTTATCTCTTCCAATGCAACGTTTAAAGAGGATGCAGTCTAATGTTCTCGCAAAAAGATCCGATGTGTCAATAAAGCGTCGTCGCGCATGTGTGCTTCCTTCAACGCCACGTTCCTTTATCGGCGATGTGTTAACCGCGTATTGTCGATAATAATAACAAGCAGTGTTTTCTACGATCCTCCCAGTGCGTTGATTTGTGCTGTATCTCTTCCTTTGTTCAGCTGAGAACAAACGCATCCAAGTGCATCGTATCTTAATCGGATGAACAGTTTCGAATCGTCCTCTTGATCGCGAGGTGCTTCTTCTTCGGTTAATCGTATTCGCGCAGCGCGCGCATACAAGTGGCAAAAATTTGCATTTATAAAAGTGCATGATTATACCGTCGATCTAATTACTATTGATTTATTGTCGTGTTCCTCGTCGGTGCTTCAATTGAATCAATCAACGTTTATATTCGTAAGTTTAGCATGAAATTTAGTATAGATATATATCTTTTTTCATAATTAATGCAAAAATAAATTTTATGTATGCTAATCAATGTATGGAATGCCTGAATTTTCAGAAAAAAACTTTTTAATTGCTAAGTAATTATTATTACAATTATAAAAACATTTTAATGCTTACTAAAAAGGTCTAATTTTTTTTAGTCGAAATGTTCTTAAAAATAAATTTATGTAATATATGTAGAAAAAAATACATTATTTTGATTTCTATACGTTGCTTTTTATACATTTACATTTGTTTGGACATTTCATGCATATATTTCGTGCGAAATTCTCGAAACTCTCGTATATTTTAATTTATTCCGTTCTGTAAATTTACATATGCTTTGTAGAAATTTTCGCATAAACCTTTGAGAAAATGACTAATTATATAATTCAAAATTATGATTATGTGTGTCAATTCTGTACGGCAATACACAGTATTTACGCGTAATTACAATTGTCGATTATATTCCATCAGACTGAAGAGGATCCGAATTGAGCCGAGAAACATTTCTATTGTTTTATTCTTTATTAATTTGTAATATCTGTTGCGTTCTGACACCTGCGCTTGGTTCTTTTTTTCATATAATTAACCATACATACAAATAAAAATATACTTGTCATATCGCTATAATTAACACAATAGATATAGTAATTCGGTTATCGTGATAACTGGTTGTTGTAATCATCGTGAGGCAATATATATTTCTGGAACTGATTTTTAGAAATAGTATTCGACAATAAATCAATAGTAACGTCGTCGTCAATTCTGCAATATCACGTGAGCATATATTTCCATGTGATATTATACATGATATTAAATGATATTAAATATTACGCATAATTAATATGTTCTATATGCAAAACGAATTGCTAACACAATTATGAAATACAGCATTTTCGCAATTTCTGTATCGACAGTTCGATATAAGCTCTTTAATTAATAATACGTGGCGAAACGAATAATATTTCTCGATTATTTTCACCGTTGTTGCTGACACTAGGTGTTTTGCAAGACTCGTATCGCGGTCTAGAAACGTTTAAGGAAATAACCATGTGGAACACACAGTTGCATCTAACATCGGGCCCAACTTTTTTGAATGCGTGAAAAGAATTTGAATGGGCAATTTTTTAAATTTTATTTCGCAGTTTTGCAGCAATACGATTTTTGCTACAATTTTAGAAAAATTTTTCTATAATTTTTTTCTAAATTTCCTATAATTTTAGAAAAAGAAAACTGAAACTATGTTGCCGTATCTACTTCCTTTTCCTTTCGATAGATGATGCGGCAACATATCGACGATAACATATGCGTAGATTATTTAAAAGCCGGTAGACAAATATGTATACAGTAGTTAACAAGCACAATGCGTGCCTTTCCTAAAGATATCCTACAGCTTTCACCTGGACTTGCGACATCTGCGTACAAGCGTATACTTTTATCGTTACAAAAAATTAACACGCTGGAGCAATTATGCTCGCCAGTGCTTTTGACTTGTCATAAGCGGTTTATTTTGTTCTTTTCTCAATTTTTGTGTCTTTTTAAAGAATTTGCAATGTATCGAGCAAATTATAGCATATATAAGTTATATAGTTTATATAGCAATATATACAAGAAAATATTTAAAGCGCAAATATTGTATTTGTCTGCAAAAACAGACGGTGCGTAATATAAATTCGCGACGGGCATAAATGAAATAAGTATATATTAGATGCATACGCTAAAGATATATTCGAACAGATCGAACTGTTCAAATATGAGCCTTTAGCTCGAAAAGTCCAAATTACTCGACGTTGAATTTCGAGAACTGTTCAAACTACCTGAATTTAGATCTACCTTTCGTAGATGCAAATGCAATAAAAGTATTAAGACAAATTATAAACGTAAAAAGAGCAATAATAAAAACTAATTGAAAAATACGTTTATCATAGACGTCAAAGTACATGATCATTAAATATTCCGATTAGAGCTGTGGACAGCGCGACGTATTAAGACTTATCGGGCAGCAATTACAATTCGTTTTATTTGTATTACGCGAATGACGTCAAATCCGACCAAAGTAGACCAGTATTCTAAACATTTTGCTTCGTATCCGACTTATCGCAGTTTACATTCGCGAGAATCATTGCGTAACAGAATATTATTATTCGTGGTTGACAACTTTTATTCTTGTTTCCTGCATGATATTGAATTCGTGATAGTTCTTGACGCACTACTCAATAATTTTTTGTTCTTATTGCAAAATCTCGGCTAGATTATCAACCATTCGCTCTTATTTCAAAGCAGTACATGTTTTCTTCACAAGGCGAGTGTTGTGCGGTAATTTAATAAAAATGTAACAATATTATTTTTATATGCGAGATACATTTGCTTATGATTAGATAAGATTAACTAAAATTCTCTGTCAATGGAATCATCAAAGGTTGTTGTGGACTTGGTACTTTTGAAGTGAGAAATTGAAATGATATAATTGGTTAATGTGAAATCGGTTATTATCGATGAGGAAATCCGCCTTGTCGAAGAGTTGCTGCTATCGCAATTGTCTTTGTTTCTTGATGAAAACATCGTGGTAGATCATAAATTTTTATTCTTTTTACTAGTCATTTATTTTTTCAATGTATGCATTTTAAGAAACAATAGTATTTTTTAAAAATAAGTATCAAGTATAAATATTATTTTTTATATCATAAATTTACGGAAAAATATTTCTTTTTGTAAGAAAATAGTGTGATGTGAGAATTTAATAGAATATAATAGTAAAGTGAAACTCAGGATGTTTGTGCGCACGATACTTTTAAATATGTTAAAATTTATTTTAAATGTGTTTTAAATTTTGGGTCACGGACAATCAGAAATTCCTTTCATATTACATTTATCGTTAAAACTACTTTCGCGTGCTACCAGTGTGAATCATCGGAAGAGTAGAACAAAGAATTCTCATAAATATAAAGCTACCTTTGTCCTCTCATGAAATAACCGATAAACGCTGACATTAAGTACGTATTAAGTAAATATCTTAAGCTATTGACCCCTTTTTTCAACAGTGTGATGTATGTTATCTCAAATGATTTATAAGGAATTGAGTAATTTGTTTTTTTTTTTTTTTTTTGGAATTATCAATATCGTTACATGAAAGGAAGTAATTTATAAAAATCACAAGTACACTTTGCATATTTATCATCATAAATGACGAGGAAAAATGGCTTTGTATGCTGTAAATTTTTTATAATATCAATCTTCCTTGATCGTAATCGTAAGAATCTTGTAGGCAGATTTCATGAAATAAAATCCAATTAATAAAGAATATATTGTCTCGTTGAGAGTCATTAAAAATAATATCATCTTTTAATAGAAATATTTTCGTAGTTTCTTAGGTAATTTAGGTCAGCGATGACCGACTATCTGTTAGTTTATTTTCATGGATCTAACTCTGCCGATTCTTTGTTCCAGGTCGTTCACGTTGGGGCGGCAGATGAGCATTCGAGCATAATCGCTCCTATCACTCAACGAGTTCGCAACAAAGCGCTCATAGCGATGGAAGTATTGATGCACGAAGCGAGTAACCGGCAGGACAACGGTGTGGCGAGCGCGCCGATTTGCACGGTCGACCTTCGATCCAAGGAAACACAAGAAGACGTTGACGATGCATCATCTCATGTTACGCGAGACGAAGTTAAAAAATCAATCGATATCATTTTTGAAAATATTACATACAACGTGAGCCTTGGTTTTAGGAAAGGTAAAAAAAAAACATGTTTTTTTAATACGTTAAATGTCATGGTTGTCACTGGTAATTGCCATTAGCTAACCATATTACGGAATTTCATTGAGGCCTTGATGAGGCCATGAAGACATAAAATTAGCATGGCATTCAACGTATTGATAATTATGAAGTTTTTTTCTACAGCTTGCAAGCAGATTAGAAATGTGTTTTTTAAATCGGCATGAAATTAAGATATTGTATTCTTTATTGCACGGTTACGTATTGTTTTCTAGAAAATAATTCTGAAAAATATTACTTGTGTAAGAGAGATTTTATAAATTGTTATTAATTAACGCGATATTATTGCGTTGGTTATTATTATTAAACGCAAAGCAACTTGCAATAATTATAAAAGAGAACAAATGTATTTAAAGTTGAACGTAACAATTATGGAAATGTTACCAATGAATAATACTTGTAAAACACAAGTAATCTTACTAAGCATTTACAAATTTTAGGGCGGAAAGAGATCTTGCACGGGATTAGCGGGAGGCTACCCAGCAAACAGTTGATCGCTTTGATGGGCCCATCTGGCGCAGGAAAGTCTACTTTACTCGACGTTCTGTCTGGTTTTCGTACAACCGGAGTGGACGGCGTCGTATATATCAACGGACGTGTTCGGCATCTTAATTCCTTTCGGAAGTACGTAGAACTCGCAATATTTTTCTCATCAAATCCGAAATGTTAAATTAGACGCAATAAACGTGTTGTGTTGTCGTGAATCTTCTTTCGAGACAATATTATAAACAATGATCAATATTTGAACTTTTTCATGCGTTTATTCCGTCCGCAGATGTAGCGCGTACATCACGCAAGATGATCGATTGGAACCCCTCCTCACTGTGCTTGAGAACATGAGGGTCGCCGCTGATTTGAAGCTGCCGTCAAATACGTCACAATGCAAGAAGGAAATGATTGTATGTAAAAATTTCTGGATGTAGAATTAAAAAGAGGAGATAAAAGTTATATTTTTTATTATTCGATGCAACTCTTTATTCTCTATAACAGAATATTAAAGCGTTTGCGCCGAAAACTTACTAATTCCATTTAAAAAAGTTAATTTTTATATCTTTTCTTATAAAGAAATTATTGAAAGTAACATCAGTAACCGCAAACAAATTGCGATAATTTATGAAGGTTAATTTCATATGTTTTAGATCGAAGATATTCTTACGACACTTGGCTTGTACGAATGCATGTATACGAGAGCCGGCAGATTAAGCGGCGGTCAAAAGAAACGGCTGTCTATCGCATTGGAATTAGTTAATAATCCCATGGTGATGTTTCTTGATGAACCCACCACGTAAGTGCCATTTATCATATTACGTGCTGTTCGACTTCCTTTTCATCTATCGTACATTCAAATTAATAAATTTATTGCTTTTTCAAATATTCACGTTTCCTTCTCTCTCTTATCTAATAAATATTTAATAAATCTATTTATAAATCTAATAAATTCTTTGCGCAATAGATTTATTTTTTACTATTATTTTTTTATCATACAAAAGTTATTGCTATTTTATTTTATTTATGATCATGCTCTTTGTCCTGAGGTTTTATTGCGACTTTAGCATCATACGTCTTGTGCTATTATTATCAAAGTGGCGCAGAAATGCGAGAATAATTTTTTACATATTAACGGATCTGTTTTTTATTTTATTTATCTGCATAGTTATCGTAATATCAGCGTTTTAGAAATACAGTTGCATATTTATGTTTTCGGATATTCCAGATTAATAGTAGACATTAAAATATGTTGCAGTTATTAAGATAACAAGAATAATCGTTTTTTAATCGAGATTTTATCATATTTTATCATTAATTCTTATTTAGAGGTTTAGACAGTTCGTCTTGCATGCAAGTGGTAAACTTGTTGAAACTGCTGGCGCGACAAGGAAGAACAATAGTTTGCACCATCCATCAACCCAGTGCATCCTTATTCCAATTGTTTGATCAGGTGAGTCATACAAATCCTCTGTTAAAAAATTATGTTTGTAATTATTTTTAAAAATCCTAACTTCTTCAGGTGTACGTATTGGCAAAGGGAGACTGTCTGTATCAAGGCGCAACGAGTAAGTTATTGCCATACCTGGAAAGTATAAAATTGCCATGCCCGATGTATCACAATCCCGCAGATTACAGTACGTATAATCTTTGATGTAACAAATTATTTTGCAATTTTTTGCTTATTTGTTTGTTTTTAATTTAGTTTGAATATATAATTTGTATATCTGAAAAATATTTCTATAATTGTTGGATACATTTGCAGTAATCGAACTTGCCTGTGGAGAGTATGGTGAAGATAAGGTACATACACTGATCAACGGATCGCAAAATGGAAGAAATTTGAAATGGTTCGATAATCCAACCGCCTTGAAGGATGCGAAAAGTCTGAGAGGTATGGAAGCAGAAAAATAAAATATTAATTGCGCTAATTATACTCTCGTATAATTTTATTATGCGTACAATCATATTTTATTAACATAAATATATTTTCTGTTTGATAATGCATCAATCTTTTTAAATATTTATGTAAGTAAGATTTATCTTTAATAAACTTGTAATAAAATAAAATTCTTTTAGCGGAACATCCTCTGACAAATGAAAACAGATTGGAAATTAATAGTGCCTTACACGCAACAAATCTTTTTCATCAAATCCGAATTCTGTTGAGGAGGGGCTATATTATGTGCAAACGAGATATGGTACGGATGTTGCGTATTTTGAAATACACATATTATATACATATTATTTTCATGAATAATTTAATTGCGTTTTTAAAATAGTTTTATTAATAGCGATTTTTAAACATTATGTGCATTTCTTGAAGATTCAAAAACATACGTCAGAATCTTTAATGATTCCATAAAAATGTTCGAGTATGTTTGCAATTTTTACTTTTTAGTAATGAAATAAAACTATTTTTTTTTAATGCAAGAAGTATATTTTGAGAATACTGATATTATAATAGCACAAATTTTTGTTAACAACATTTATGCATATATGTTGTAGACTCTGACACATTTACGGATTGGAGTTAACATTATAGTCGGTATAATGCTTGGTTCGGTTTTCCTGCGATCCGGCGGCGATGGTTCACGCGTATTAGACAACTACAATCTCCTCTTTTCCATTCTTATACATCACATGATGACGACGATGATGCTCACTATAGTAACTTGTAAGTTTTCATTTGTTTTTGCATTTAAATTGTACACCAAAAATCAGATTAATGCCTTAAAACTAAATTTCAACAATTCGGAAGATGCATATCATATCTAGAAATTTGCATCACGATTACAAGACTGTGTTTAACAGTCTGGCATTTTTAATATGTAGTTTGACATGTAAAAGATTAAATATAAAACTGAAATATTAATAATAGTTTATACAATAAGTTAATTAGTAAAAATATAATTTTGTTACGTACAGTTAAGTATCCTTGATCATTTTTATGCAAATGCAACGTTGCTTTTGATTTGCAGTTCCAATGCAGATGTCTATTCTTCTCAAAGAGCACTTTAATAGATGGTATAGCTTAAAAGCATTTTACACAGCGATAACGTTGATCGATCTGCCGATTTCGATATTGAGCTGCGTACTTTTCTCATTAATCATCTACGTTATGTCAGCGCAGCCATTGGAAATCACTCGATTCTCTATGTTTCTCATCATTACCCTGCTAATAATATTCATAGCGCAAGGCATGGGCCTCATGATAGGCGCTGTGTTCAATGTTGTGGTAAGTATAACGAATAATCACAATTGACAAATTATTTAAATTTGACAATTATTTAATAGTTAATAATTTATGAATTAATATTTGTATGTTTGTTTATTATTTAATTACATATAAAATCAATATCTCTGTGATCTACTGATTCTGATAATGAACATTTTCAGAACGGGACTTTTATGGGGCCAACGATGGCAGTGCCAATAATGATGTTTGCCGGATTCGGCGTTTCATTACGCGATTTGCCACAATATCTTAAGTGGGGCAGTTACCTCAGTTATTTACGATATGGTTTAGAAGGGTAAGAATAATTTCATTGTTTGCTAATTTTTTATTCATTGTTTAACATTAAAATATTATTAAATATACAGATATTTATATTTATGACTCTATTTCCGCCTTCACAATTCATGTATATTTATAATAATATTTTATACCACAATTTTACATGAAATCATTTTAAATATAATAATTTAAAATTATATAAATTTATTAGAAAATTTTACGGCGTAAACTTTATGCAAAACGCATATATTTTCAGATATATTGGAGCCATTTACGGCCTTGACAGACCTACTCTGGATTGTAAGGAGAAAGGCGAAATGTACTGTCACTATAAATACCCCTCCAAATTTCTTTCGGACATTGCCATGAGAGGAGACCAATTCTGCAACGATGTTATTGCTCTCACTATAATACTAATCATTACACGGTTCTGCGCGTATTTGCTTCTACGATGGAAGGTCGCATCATGCCGATAAGAAACCGAATGTCGGATGCCGGATGGACTCTGCCACAAAACAAAATCTTTTCACAATTTGATAATGCATTATATATTTAAATGATTAAATGTGATATGTGCTTGACCCACAATTTACATTAAAATTATTCAAAATCATTTTTTTTTTAATATTACACGCATCTGTATTACTATTAGCCACTCATATGTTTAATAATTTTCGTTATTATTAAAATTTATCCAAGTAGGTATTTATATAGTAGAGCGAGAAAGATTGTGTGTCTCTGTGTGTGCATGTGTGTGCGTATGCTATAAACTTTTTTAGCGTTCAGTATATATTCTTTTTTATATGCTTTGAATAAATTTGCGAATGTGGCGATAGTTGCGTGAATAAGTATGCAAGATTGTATATAGTCTATGTGACAAATGTAAGTACATTTGTATTCATATTACAAAATATCATAAATATGTATTTAATTTTTATGCTTAAATGTGATAAACGTTATGTAGAAATGTTGTGAGGAATATTTCTACGGAATAAGCCGTATGATAACGTGCGCATTATATCAATGCAATAAATTTTATTAAGATAGTGCATCGAGAGATATTCTGTTAAAAAATATTTAGATTAAATGTACGTAGAGAGAGATAAAATATACGTCTAGCAATTCTGATACTTTGATGATTTTAATTTACTCAAGAGCAAATACATCATAGTTAGTTAATGTCGAGAAGTGATAAGAACTTTAAGGAACAATATAGGGTAATGATCAATGTCACATTGTACAAGGATAGAAAATATATTTACAAATATTTAACAATTATCTTAATTTTTTTCACATTTTAATTGACATTTATTTTATATCATATTTGTTATATTTAATTAATTTTATTATGATATGTGAAAATGACTTATTAATCATTATTATCGTAATCAATTCAATCATATCAAAATAAATCTTATGTTATCATATAATATTAATCATGAAACATATTGTATTATGATATAATATATTCATATTTATAATTTCTTCTTAATTTTTTATTTTTACAATGTATTTTATTGTTGCAACATTTTTTTGCGAGCAAAGCGTAACTTAATTTATTACATCATTTCCTTGCATAATAAATTTTCCAACAAAGTATTGCATAGATGACTACGTGCAAACAGAATATCCAGAACACAAGTATTATCAAAATCACATGGAACGATACCGTTGGTAAATTCATCATTGAGAGAATCTCATTTGGTGAACGTAAGTGACAATAAATTTCCTGGCACGATAAATTCGGTCGATCCGTGTAGACTGCTTGCATTAATCCTTCAAATGCGTATCTATAAGAAGATTTAGGCATTATAAAATCAATGCTAAAAATTTGTTATCATATGAAATTATTTATACCTGAAAAAGCTCAAAAAACCTAATGGTTGCAGATACGTCGATATTTCATTCATTTTCACAAAAAATCCAGAAAACAGCAATAATGGTATACTCGACGCTGGTATTAGAAAAGTACCCAACTAAAAAAAAATTATAGTTAGTCATTTACATTGGTTCTTATATCGATTAATATACTAAAATATGGAGTTTACCGATTTTATCGTGAATATTTTACATTAATAAAATCATATAAAATAAAATTATCGATACTGCAAATAAATCATTTAATAAATAAAAAATTTTAATTATTGTGATTTATAATATTGAAATGTAAGATATTGCAATCTCTTATAAAATCGCAAAGTAACATCTTAAGTAATAGATTGAAAAATTATTGTAGCACCTCCGTGTTGAAAGCTACGCCTGTAAGAATCCCGACCGTTTGTCCAATAATTGTAATTAATACGCAAATGCTCCACGCTTGTAGAACTCTATTAAATTCCATTGGCTGTCCTGTCATGTAGTATGATATAAACAGAAAAGATGAGGAGCAAAGTATCTGTAAATTTTTAGTTTATCGATGATTTTAAAAGTGATTCATACGATATTTAATTAGACAAAATTCTATTTATGAACAATTAAATTATATCGTTAACAATATATTGAAACGCACTTGCAAGAGAAAATCGGTTAATATCTTTATGCTGTAGTAGGATCTCAAAGAATACCAATTATTTAAATGTTCCTGTAGAAATACTGTCGCCTCCATGGGAACTACAATCATACGATACCATCACATTTAATATAATTATGTTTGCGAAACTCCCCAGGGAGAAATACAGGTCGACGAAACGTCTAATAGACATTTAATAGACGTCTATAAACGTCTAATAGACGTTTCTTCGACCTGTATTTCTCACTGGATCACGGTAATAAAATTCGTTGCAATGTAAGTTTTAAACACCGTGAGTTTAGGAATGCTGTTACAAAGTTGCTTTTATCAATTTTTTTAATTGCGTAATAATATTAAATAATTGTTGTATTATCAATTGATATACATTTAAAGATAGACAAACAAACAACAAAAAAGTGTATTACTTACACATTTGCACTGCTGGCATGGCATTTGCGAAAAATAAAAATAATAAGAAGAAAAATAAACAAGCTGTATTACTGATCACTTTTTGTGCGTCATTTCCAAAATTATAAAAAACTGCTCCTAATAGCAGTGGCACTATAACATGCGCTCCATATCTTAAGATTGTCATAATCTAATAGATAAAAAAATAATGTAAAATAAATGTTTACATTTACAAAGTGAATTATTTAAATGTTATTTTCTAAAGTTTTACTCACCAAGTCTCTCTTCATATGAATGAGAGCTCTTAAAAATAATATCTTTTGTTCTTGCCACATCGACAATCTTTGTTTTGTATTACTTGTGAATGTTGTAAGTGCATCATCATCGGAATTATGTTTGGAGGTAGTTGATGAATTTGTTTCTGCAAAATCCATTAATGATGATAATAAACTTTTACCCATTTACATATGAATTATTTTCTTTTGTTCTGTGCTTTTATAATTTTCGAATTGCACTAATTTTATCATACAAAAAAAATAGCACTTTCTGATTGTTTTCTTTCATGCTTTAGTTTAAATTTTTTAGATCAATGTAAATATATTAGATTAAATAGATAAAATATTTACAGTTTCATTACATAATTGTTGCAAGGCAAAACATAGTCAAAATTACGAATATTTAAAATTGATAAAATCGTGATAACAGAAGGGGATCAAGAGCCGACGCTGGATGTAATATCTGCAAAAATCTTCTTTATTTAAAGAGTTGAGTGAGTAAACGTTTCAGTCGTTAATCCGATCATCTTCGGTACAATCTTGATTCGACGAATTGTGAGAGTCTCCTAAAATGAAATATTGGAAGTCGTTCTCTAATGCAATCGTCATTACATACAAGATGAAAAAATGTGTGACGACATATGTGAACTTTGACTAATAGCCTGTTCAGAAGATTGTGAGCTATTGTGTTGACAGACAAGACGGAAAATGTGTGAAAACATATGTGAACTTTGACTAATAGCCTGTTCGGAAGATTGTGAGCTGCTGCGTTGACACAATCTAAGAACGGTTGCATTAGAGGACGACTTCCAATGTTTTATTTTATGAGACTTTCACAATTCGTCGAACCAAGATTGTACCGAAGATGGTCGAATTGACGACTGAAACGTTTACTTATTCAACTCTTTAAATAAAGAAGATTTTTGCAGCAATTACATCCAGCGTCGGCTCTTGATCCTCTTCTCTTATCACGATTTTATTAATTATTGTGAGTTTTTAAATAATTATTGTTAATTTAAAATTGAATTACAAAATTTAAGTATACTCACCATTTTTGGGACGTTTCTTGCGTGATTTAGAGTTTTCGCACTCATTACGAGAAATTTTGTACAGATTTTCCAAATCTCCGTTTCTCTGTTCGGTTATCACCTCAAGCACTATTATCAGAAAGACAATAAAAATTCATGCATCTTAATTTCTTATAAATATAATTTAATAGAATTTTGCAAACACTTTTGATAAAATATAATTTTAAATACTATCAACATATTAAAAATTAATTTTGTTAGCAATAGAAATTAATGGTTCAACATATTCAAATTAATTTATTATGTGTGTCAGATAAATTTTTCGAAATTTCTTTCCTATAACTTATTCATCAAATCGTTAAAGAATCTAAATGATAAAATTAACATTACCAAATTCAGCTATATTGTAGAAAGGAGGACACATGAATCCCGCATTTTCAAACGTATTTAGAATCTCGCTCCTTGGACCGCAATACATCGATCTACCTCGATTAAGTACCATGATGTCATCAAATTGTGAAATCATTTGACTGCTGGGTTGATGTATCGCACATACTACGGTGCAGTTTGCTTTTGCCATAGTACACAGTACATTAATGAGCTGTTTAATTACAACGTTTCCGTTAGAATTAATTATATTATTTCATGACAACGTATTGAATAATTTCTTTTTGTAAAATGAGCTCTCTCTCTCTCTCTCT